ACTCTAGTGATGATTATGAAAAGCAATCAGCCAAAAAATAAAAGCAATCACAGTTCTCCTTCTATGATTTCTAAAAGTACGCATAAAATCTCTGCATAAATCTAAGGACATTAATTCTGGTCATATCGATTCCTGATTAATTTTAACCAGACCAATTAAAACACTGTAATCTAACTCTTTATAATTTTCCAACATTATTGAATTATGCAACTGCATAACTAAAATTCTCTCCCTCCTAAGCACAGGACAAAAGAACCATCGTCCTCTTCTGAGGATGTTGTTATTTCTAAATTATATTTGAATTTCAGAAAAGCTTACAAGCAAGCCTTGGCATAATGGTAAGGTTGCTGCCTTGTGATCAGCCATAGGTTCAAACCCTCCAACTAGCCTATCCACTAGTAGGGCAAGTACATCAACCCCCCAAGCCTCAATTGGTGGGAGCGTCATGACCTAAGTCAACTTTTTTAAGTAGTTGTTCTTCTATTCACCAACCTTAAAACGTGCACATGAATTGGTATATCCAACAATTAAAACTAAAATAAAAACATATCCACCCAAATCAACCAAATTGGATGAAGGATTTATACAAATCTAAAATCAATAGGATTTCAAAATCAAATCAATACCTATTTTATAATTTTGCAAAACAAGAAATTTCAATATTATAATTTTCCAATAAAATAATCCAACTATAAATCATATTAATTTCTTAAAAATGTTTCATTCCGCACTAACAAATTTTCTTCCATTTTTCAATTGGATAAAACAAGATCAGCTCATTCCAAACTACGTAGCTTGATTGACTTTTCAACTTTTAATGACTATCGCTTAGGAAGATTGCTGGTCTAATCAAAGTACTATGCATTCTTTTACATAGCATCATATAGACTGAATAAAAGATTTCCTAATTTAACTTTAGCTTAACCTTTTAAGCACGTTCATCTATAAAGAAAGAGTTACAAAACGAAAATAATTTTCAAACAAAAAGCTAATCAATTACCAAAGCAATAAGAGAAGAATAATGTGTGCAAGACATTCAAAAACAATTTTCCAGTAAGAGAAGCTCCAAAAATTTTGGAGCAAGGCCCCATTTGGTCCTTGAAATTTTTTCAAAACATTCAATTCATTTCTAGAAGGATTATTACATAAATTCAGTCTAAATGAATGATACATATTTGGGGATCAAATGGGAGATTTATTCATACAACATATAATATTACCACTTTAACAGAAAAAAAAGGACTATTAAATACGAGGAAATCTTCTTCTATTAAACCATGTTGCAATCCATTTAAACCATAGCATATGATAATCAAGTTCATTAAATTTCACATTTTTTTATTTCTAAAGTTCACAATAACTAATTTAAAAGAAAAAGAAAAAAAAGAACATTTTACAGACCTGCTAGATGTTTAATATCAGATTTTTCTTGTAAGCACTCATTGATAAAATTTTGAATACCAACAGTATACTCTTTATGCTTTGCATGGAGAGTATCAATCACTTCTTGCAAATTATTTGCCTCCTCTTTCATCATATCATCAATCTTAGTCATTAGGGTTATAGCATCTGCAAACCAGAATGAGTAACAACAGGTCATTTGTATAAATATTTTCTAACTATTCTACAACACTGATATATGATATAAAAATATTTTAAACAAAAACTATATGCTTCAACAACAGGATTGCATATCCTATTTTTTACCTTCTGAAGATATATCTCCGTCCAAAAGCTGAGCTATACCGCCTGATCTTTCCATCTGATCATCAATAATATCTTTTAGGAGTTTCAACAACTCTATTGTAGATGATTGACGCAAACCAAGGGCCTCCTCAACATAACCAGTGATCTCATCATCACTGATTCCTTTAATGGAATCTTTCTGGATTAATCTACATAGAAATATATCCTCAGCAGGACACAAAGGAAGTGAACCTAGAGAGTAAGTCAAGTCAGTCTATTTAATTACCTTTACACTAAGAAAAGAGTACTTGTAGGTGTGTATATACCTTCAGGATTTTCAATGTCAGTCAAATACCGCAACTTGTCTTTGCCTTTGCCTCTCCCAGCTTGTATTCCAAGAAGAATCATATCGTCAACCAACTAGAAAGACATAAGAAAATTAAGCCAGATAGCATATTATCCTACAGGAATATGAGAAAAAGTGCATTGCCTGCCATCCAATGACATCCCGGGCATACTCTATATATGGTAGTGCTATTTTCAAGAGAGGAGAACACTAAACTCAACGGAGGGTGAAAGAAACCAGAGCATGATGATAAAGAATAACCTGAGTCCAGAGTTGGTTCAAAGCAATTAACAAGTCATCATAAGAACTTTGCTTTCCTTTTAATTCTCTAATTTTTTCTTCAAGGCCATGCAAAGCATGTTTCTGGACGTCGATCTGTTGAACAAGCTGCTGATTCTGAAACTGTAAGACTCCTGCATCAGCCTGGGGGAGCATACCATCCGGCGTTACACAAGTAAAACTATTGAACAACTAACATTGAAAAAGAATCTTGATGCCACACAGAAAGAGTAATTGCATGATAAACAAGAAACCAAACATTTTTTTTACCTGAATCTAGTTAAGCATCTCAATGCTCATAAAAACCCTTGCCTGACTCTTCTAAATGAAAGGCTCTCAGTGTCATGAAAACATCAACAATCACAAGACATCAAAGTCACCCTTGCTAATTACTCCCCTCTTGGCAGCCCACACACACTGCTCAATGAAGTGAGCTAAACCCCTTAGTAACCACACCAATTTTTTTCGTTTGTAATTCTCTTTTAGAATGATATATGCATAAATTAGAATTCTCAACTGTCACGAGATTAGTTTAAAACTTACTACAGATATTTTGATTCTCTTTCTCACTACCTTTTTCTTTTTTGTTTACAGCATACATCATGTACTTTTCCTATAACTAGTAAAAAAGTATCACCAATAATTATCTTAAGAAGCTAAGTTCGTTAATGGACTTTACTAAGTTGACAATAAGCACAATCTCACTGTTACCCCCTTGTCATAAAAATCAAAACTTTATCCAAAATTCCATCCACCCAGATTAAAAGAAACAATTCATTCTGTGTCCACAATACCAAGCAGTTCAAAGAATGCAATTATACACCAAATTCAAAGCAAACTCTACAAAAATTCAGAACCGGATCATCAACAGAGCACAATAGTGTAATGAAAGAGGTGAAAAGCAACATATATATGAACACATGGATGCACAACAAAAACATATAGCGAGAGAAAAAGGGCTTACAGTTTTGTTGGTGGTAGGAGAGTTGATGGAGTTTCTAGATGTGCGAGAAGAAACAGAGGTGAGATGAGGCCTCTTCTTCTCGGGTTCGTCGTGGTCTGAGTTTTCCATTGAGATTCTGAAATTTTTAACAAAACGACCACAGCATTAGGAATCCAGATCAAAACTTGCTCAATTCTTCAGAGTTCTCAATGATAAACAAAAGAAATGGAGTCACACAGCACACCAGAGAAAACACATTTACTCAAGTTTAGGGTGATGTGCAGTGGAACCACTTTCTGCATTTTTTATATTTGTAAATAGCAATTGACCATTTTCATTTATAAAATAGTATTTAATTTTATGTACTTATAATTTTATCTAAATATATTTTAAATTAAGCTTAAATATACTTTTAATACTGATATTTTTTATTTTGGTTTCCATAAAAAAATGTTTTTGATTACTCTAAAATTAAAATTTATTATGTTTTTCTTAATATCACATCACACTAGTTATTGAGTTAAAAAAAATCACGTTTAAATCAATATAGTAATTTAAATTTTTGAAAAATAAAAAACTATTTTTCATAAAAACTAAAATCAAAGTTCATGCCTATTATCAACCATTTTAAAGTAACTTCATGTTTTAACTCTGTTTGGATGAATGATAAAAAAAAAGTGTCAATTTGAAAAGCATAATAATAAATATAATTGTTAAGTTATATATTAAAATATATATTTATAATAATTAAAAAATTGTTATAATTTGAAAATGTAATGATATTATAGTTTGATAGGGAATTTTTCATAGGTATTTTACATAGCAGCTAAAAAAAAGTACAAAAACTCGAAATCTTATAAAATTTTGATATTTTATGTAATAAATTTCTACTATAAAATTTGATATTTTATGTAAGAAGCCTTGTATTTAATGTTGTCTATTAATAGTAAAATTATTTTGCAATTTAGTTATTGGACTACAAGATGTCCAAACAAGTTGTGATAATTTGGATGTATATGTTTAGAATTGACAAATTATTTTAGAATTTCATGTTATCTACATAATATTTAAACTTCTCTTACATTTCTTATGTCAAATTAAATATTTTGTTAAATCAAGGTGCAGTGAGAATAAGAAAGGCTATAAGTTAAATCATAAATTGTCACCTTTTAATTTTTCTATTTACGTGAAGTTTTTTATCTTTCATTATGTATAGTTACGCTATGTTAGCAATATAATTTGGAGTAATCCTTTTTTGTTTTACAATGTGATTTTAAGTATACCTTTTAGGAATAGTTAGTTGCACAGTTAATAAGTTTATATATAAAAAGTAAGTATTTTCTCAACTCACCTGTTTTATTTGAATAAAAATAGTTGCATGTGTTTTTATATCATCATAAATATTTCCGTTAAATTGTGAAAAAATTTAAAAAGTAATAAAATAATGAAATTATTCATATTTTAGTATATTTTAAAAATTTTATTACATCTATACAAATAATATAAGATTAGTATAAAATTTAGTCTAGGGGAAGGGAACTTTGAAATTTTGAAAATAAAAATGTTATTTAAATATAAGTAATTAACATGGAACAGAAAATGTGTAAAAAAATAAGTGTCTTTTAAAAAATAAACTTAATTATTTTATTAATAAAAGTCTAATTTATATACAGAAGTATGAGTTACTCAATTTTATTTTATGAAAATCATTATTTTCTTGAATTTTTTTCTCTTCTAATTTTTCTTTAAGATTCTAACGAATTTATATAATTGTTTAAAATCAAAATAGAACTTCGAGGTAATATTATAAAATTGATTTATCAAAGAAGATAAGTTCATTTTGTTGTCCTTTATTTTGGTCTTTTAAAAAATTTGTTGCATTTGAGTTGTTTTAAACTTGGGTTTTTTGGGCTTGCATGTAATGTTTAAGAGTTCAAGTTGAATCTCTCCTCGTTAGTATCGTCCGAGTATAACCAAATCATTGATATGAGTTATTTGTATGAGTAGAGGTATTTAAAGATAGCGAAAAATTTTGTACTAGTGGTTTATAATCCAAATAAGGGAAGTTGGTAATATTTTTATATATGTTTATGCTTGTTTTGATTTATATATTGATTTCTAATGAAATTGTATTATGTCTAGTTTGTAATTTTTGGTTGAGTTAGAAACCTCTCATTGATAAGTGTGAAAAAGAGTTGTTTTTATACTTATAAATGAACTCAATCTTGTAATTATTCATGTTGTTCCTCATTGAAAAGTTGTAATAGGTAGTAGATTGTTATGTAAAATATTGTACAGGGAATGGTGTATTATTTAGATTCTGTCAGCCAATTTTCGCAAAGCGAAAGCCAAAATTCGCACTGCCAGGAAATGAAAATTC